ACGCCGACAAGGACAACGGCGTCCTGCACATCACCGACACGGGCATCGGCATGACCCGCGAGGACCTCATCAACAACCTCGGCACCATCGCCAAGTCCGGCACCAGCGAGTTCCTCACCGCCATCAGCGAGGGCAAGGCCGACGCCAGCTCCCTCATTGGTCAGTTTGGCGTTGGCTTCTACTCGGCCTTCCTCGTCGCCGACACGGTCGTCGTCACCACCAAGCACAACAACGACAAGCAGTACATCTGGACCTCGGACGCCGCCTCCTTCTCCATTGTGGAGGACCCGCGCGAGGACGAGCAGCTGGGCCGCGGCACCCGCATCAGCCTGTACCTCAAGGACGAGGCCCGCGAGTTCCTGCAGGAGAACCGCATCCGCGACCTCGTGCGCAAATACTCTGAGTTTATCAACTTTGACATCTACCTATACACGAGCAAGGAGGTTGAGATTGATGTTGAGGCTGAGGAGGAGGCCCTGCGCGCAGAGGAGGAGGAGCTTCTTGACGAGGACGAGGAAGAGGCGCCCGAGAGCGAAGATGACGCGGACGACGACGATGAGGGTTATGAGGGCGACGATGAGGATGAGGATGAGGAGGAGGAGGACGAGGATGAGGTGGAGGCCGAGCCCACCAAGACCACGCGCACCGTGTGGGACTGGGAGGTGATCAACGCCAACAAGCCCATCTGGACCCGCAACCCAAAGGAGGTTGAGGACGAGGAGTACAACAACTTCTACAAGGCCTTCAGCAAGGACACCAAGGACCCGCTGGGCAAGATCCACTTCACCGCCGAGGGCGAGGTGACGTTCCGCTCCATCCTGTACATCCCACAGGAGGCGCCCGCGGGCTTCTTCAACGACTACGGCAACACCCAGTCGGATCTCAAGCTGTACGTGCGCCGCGTGTTCATCACGGACGAGTTTGACGACATGCTGCCCAAGTACCTTGGCTTCATCCGCGGCGTGGTGGACTCGGACGACCTGCCGCTCAACGTATCCCGCGAGACGCTGCAGCAGCACAAGCTCCTCCGCGTCATTAAGAAGAAGATTGTGCGCAAGGCGCTGGAGATGATCAAGAAGCTGGACGACGAGAGCTTCAAGAAGTTCTGGAAGGAGTTTGGCACGAGCATCAAGCTGGGCCTGATTGAGGACTTCCAGAACAAGTCGCGCCTGGCCAAGCTGGTGCGCTTCCACTCGTCACACGAGGACGGCGAGCTGACGTCGCTGGACGACTACGTCGCCCGCATGAAGAAGAATCAGGAGCACATCTTCTTCGTCGCCGGCTCCTCCATGGAGGAGGTCAAGGCATCGCCGTTTGTGGAGCGCCTGCTCAAGCGCGGCTACGAGGTGCTGTACCTCACAGAGCCCGTCGACGAGTACACCATCCAGAACCTGCCCGAGTACGACGGAAAGAAGTTCCAGAACGCCGCCAAGGAGGGCCTCAAGCTGGACGACTCTGAGGCCGCCAAGAAGTACAAGGAGGAGCAGGAGGAGGAGTTCAAGCCGCTCACGGAGTGGCTCGGCGAGCACCTGAGCGAGGACATCGAGAAGGCCGTCGTCTCGGACCGCCTCACAGACTCGCCGTGCGCCCTGGTTGCGTCGCAGTACGGCTGGTCTGGCAACATGGAGCGCATCATGAAGGCGCAGGCGTACGCGCGGCAGGACGACGCCGGGTCGAGCTTCTACGCGCGACAGAAGAAGACGCTTGAGATCAACCCGCGCCACCCGCTGATCAAGAGCCTGCTGGAGCGCGCCAAGGCCCTGGAGGACGAGGAGGACGCCACAGACGAGACACTGGAGGACACGGCACGCGTGCTGCTGGACACGGCGCGGCTGCGGTCCGGATACCTCATGCAGGACTCTGTTGGGTTTGCGCAGCGCATTGAGCGCATGCTCCGCCTGAGTGCCGGCGTTGACCTCGACGCGCCCGTGGAGGAGGAGCCCGTGTTTGAGGACGAAGATGAGGATGAGGGCGACGAGGATGAGGATGAGGATGAGGAGATTGAGGACGAAGATGAGGAGGAAGAAGATGAGGAGGAGGAGGGGGAGGAAGAAGAAGAAGAGGAGGGAGAAGAGGCAGAGGGCGTTGCTCATGAGGAGCTCTAAGCCAACACTCATCCACACATACACATACACATACACATGTTGGTCTCGGTGTTTCTTTGAACGTTTTGTTTGGTTGTTTGTTTGTTTGTATGGACTTGGGATTGGACTGTGTTTGAGGCATCATGTGCTCTCGTACATACACGACGCATTCGATTCAAAATACACAGCAAACAGGTGATTTTCATGTGATGTGAAGTGAGACGACGACGAACAAAACCCAGAGGGCGTGGATCAAAAGTTGTTGAAGACGCAATGTGACATTGATAGCATGCATGGGAGACGGCCACAATTTCAAAACCCAGAGGGCGTGGATCGTGCACTTTGTACAATGCTGCAAACAAAAACGCAAGAGCACACTGCACGAACACTGCACGCACAAGCACATGTCCACCCCCACCCTCTCTCTGATCTTGTGCCTGCCCTATTATTGGTTGTGGAAGAAGCAAGAGTTTGTGTCGCCACCCAGGCTGACAAATGCCGGGTGGTGTCGAACACTTGCCATTCCCGTGCGCTGCTCCACGTGCCGTCGCATTGCCTGCAAGTGCAGCACTTCCTCCCTGCGCACCTCCGCCCCTTGCTGCCGCCGCTCGTGTCGACGCTGTCGACGCTCGCTCTCCCGCTCAGTGCGTCGCTCATCTCGCCCGCGGCGGTGCCGTGCCCGCTCCCCATACGTGTGGCCAATGTTCTGGCGCTGGTTGGACGGGTGTAGCAGCGCCTTCTCCATGCGCGCGTGTGTTTCGCGCGGTGCCTCGCGCAGATACGCCTCAACAGCTGCCGCTTCCTCCTCCACCTCCTCCGCCGCCATCGCCGTTGCATCCGCCACTTCCCACCCAAATCGCGCATGCGGCGGCGACATGTTCGCCGTGTGTGCGTCAGCGTCGTCGTACCTGTGTTGTACAGCGCGCCAACGCATGCGCATGGACGCGGACGGAGACGTGGACGCGTGTCGACCCAGCTGTCGCGAATGTGTTTGGCTTCTGGATGCGAACAAGGTCGGCTCCCTGCGAGTGGACGTGACGGCAGGCGCTGGAGATCGAGGCGCTGTCGGCAGGTCGATTCGATCAGAGGAGTGTCGAACTACAAGAGCACGCAACAGAGACGACGATGATGGTCCTATTGTTGCTGCTGCTGTTGCTGTTGCTGTTGCTGCGGCGGGGCGTGTCTGGGACTGCCAAGCGCGTGATGCTGATCGCTCTCGGTGCCCTTTCTGGGCTGAGTGCTCACAGTGTTGGTGTCGCTGCTGTTGGTGTCGTTGGCGCTGTTGCGACTGAGGATGGACAGGGGTGGCCAACGGCGCAACATCGCTGGCGGCGGCTTGTGTTCCGCGGCAGTACCGCTGGCGCTGGATCTTGGCGAGGCGAAGCAGCCGTGTGTGAGCCTGCTGCGCACTCTCAAACGCCCGCAGCCCTGTCAGGTCTTCACCGTGGCCGTGTCGGTCGTAAGACACAAAATCCTCCACGCGTGGCGGCAGCAAGTCCACGGGCTTCACACTGAGTGCCTTGCATGCTCGCAACGAGCGTGGGCTCGTTAACACCCGCTCGCTGTGCGCAAACCCCGGTGACAAGAAGTTGTCCAAGTTGATGCTCCTCCGTTTCTTCATCTGTGTGTGTGTGTGCGTCTGTGTGTTTGTGTGTTTGTGTGTGTGTGTGTGTTTGTGTGTGTGTGTGTGTCTGTGTGTGTGTGCGTCTGTGTGTTTGTGTGTTTGTGTGTGTGTTTGTGTCTGTGTCTGTGTGTGTGTG